AAAGTGAATGCTGTATATACTAAATGCAAAGTGTGTGTGTATTTGTGTAGTGTGTGTATAGTGAATGTAGTGTGTTTATATAATGCAGAGTGTGTGTGTTTGTATAGTGTGTGTGTATATAATGCAGTGTGTTTGTGTAGTGTGCATTATATAAACACACTACACAAACACACTGCATTATATACACACACACTGCATTATATACACACACTACACAAACACTGCATTATATAAACACACTACACAAACACACACACTGCATTATATACACACACTACATAAACACACACCGAATTATATAAACACACTACACAAACACACCGCATTATATACCCACACTACACAAACACACACTGCATTATATACACACACTATACAAACACACTGCATTATATACCCACACTACACAAACACACACTGCATTATATACACACACTGTACAAACACACACTGCATTATATACACAGTGTGTTTGTGTAGTGTGTGTATATAATGCAGTGTGTGTTTGTGTAGTGTGGGTATATAATGCAGTGTGTTTGTGTAGTGTGGGTATATAATGCAGTGTGTTTGTGTGCATTGTATACAAACACACACTGCATTATATACACAGTGTGTTTGTGTAGTGTATGTGTATATAATGCAGTGTGTGAGGGGGCATTTTTTATTAAATTATTAAAAAAAAAAAAATTATATTTACTTAATTATTATTTTTTGTTTGTTGTCCCCCCTCCCTGCTTGTTACCTGGCCAGGGAGGGGGGATATGACAGTCCCTGGTGGTCCAGTGGTATTGGCTGAGCTTTGGGGGGGCGGAGAGCAAGCGCTTACTCACCTCCCAGCAGCTCCTCCAGCTCCCCAGTGCAACTCTCGCGGCCAGCGTGTCGCGCGGAGCGTTGCCATGGTGATCCATGGCAACGCTCTGACGGCCGCGGGTCTCGCGAGAGTTGCACTGGGGAGCTGGAGGAGCTGCTGGCAGGTGAGTAAGCGCTTGCTGCCCGCCCCCCCAGGACCGCCGGGCTTGTAATGAGCCTGGCGGTCATAGGAGGTATTATCGGCAATATCGGTATCTAAATTGGCCGATACCGATATTGCCGAGAATACCGAATATCGGCCGATTATATCGGTAAAACCGATAATCGGTCGATCCCTAATAAACACACTACATCCCTTACAGAAATTGGTATCCCTATACACTACATTCTATAAAAACACACACACATTGCATCCTCTACAATAACACATAAAACATCCCCTACACACATACACTCCACTTCCTGTGAGAGAACTCATGGGTGGGCCATGTAGGTGGATTTATGGGTGGGCATTGTAGGCATACTCACGGTCAAGCCCTGGGGGGCCCAGACCTTGAGCTGTGTAAGGGGCCCTAAAAATTGGAGTTGCTTCCTGTTCGTTAATTGTTGTGAGCACTGTTAAAAACAGTCTCCAGAGAGCCTCTTCTACACCAGGCCTGTGGAGCCAGACTGTGCCCATCATCAGCCTCTTGTCCTCATCTGGTGGTAAGTAGGCAATCTAATATATTATGAGTGGCACTAATCTCTTATTTACCTCACATTAAATGGATACTATAGTCACCAGAAGCACTACAACATAATGTAGTGGTTCTGGTGTCTATAGCCTGTGGCTGTAGGCTTTTTAATGTAAACACACTGTCCTTTCAGATAAAAGACACTTTGTGAAGATTGGCATTGGCCCATATGGCAGAGCATATGGGGGGGCATTGTGATGTCACATGGTGGGCAGGACATATGGGGGGGGGGAGGTGGCAAAAAAATTTTTTGTCTAGGGCGGCAAAAATCCTTGCACCGGCCCTGGTAGGGGTAAAGATACATTTAAAAAAAAAAAAAATGATATTAATTCTGTATCCCCCCTCCCTTCCCCTTACCTTTGGTGAAGGAGGGGGGACACAGCCATCCCTAGTGGTCTGGTGGAAGCAGCTCCCCTGTAGTCCTTCGCGATGCTGTGTGGTGCGTTGCCATGGTAAAGCGCGGCAACGCTCCACACAGCTTACTCGCAGGAGGATTGGAGAGCTGCTTCCTAGAGCCCTCCCCCTGCCTCCCGACCCGGAAGCAGAGTGGGCGCCTGCCGTTTTGGGCAGGCAGGTGCCTACTCTGCAGACAGCCAGCAGCCCCCTCTCCCGGCGACCTATGGCCGCGTGCCCTCAGAGAGGGCCTGGCGTGCTACCTGTGCCATAGGTTCGCCATCACGGATTTATTTAGGTTCTATGGATTACAATTCCAAGTTGGGCAGCTGCAGGTTGGAAACTATATCCACTGCTGAACTTCTTGAGTAATATTATATTACATTTTTGTTTCCTTTTTGGTTCATATTACCACACAATGGCACATAATATCCTGAGGCAACTGGGAAAAAAAAGCAACAAGGATTTTACACAACATTTCTGAAAATTTAATTTCCCTTATCTTACGTAGAAGCAAAAAAAAATAAAAACCCCACACAAACAAACTACATCTCCATGCTTCAATTATCTTTTAACAGTGCTAATCCCTCACAACTGCTGTAAGGCTGCACTGTAAAATGACATATCTAATCATACTGGATGTTCAGCAATTTGGCTGCAAATGTACTCTTCAGAACAGGTAATGTACCAACAGGTAATGTACCATATGCCACAATACAATAGTAAAGCCCGTACTGATTATTTCTCAATTAGAATAAATATACAGGATATGCTAGCCTAGGCTATATTTTTCAAAAAAAATCTGCCTTAAACAGTGAACATTAGCCATAGAGGTCCATGTACAAGTTGAGTACAGACATCATACGTAACTATGGAGGGCTAGTATGTGGCATGTTTTCAATTTAATATAAAATATAAACAAATAAAACTTACTGACCTTTCTATGACATTTATACATTCCAAGTGATATTAAAGCGGCACTGTCATGCCAAACTTACCTTTCCCCAATCGCTTCCTCTTCTCTCCCTCTCTCAGGATATGTTCTTCATTTCTTCCTGTCTGCTCTAGTTTTCTTTAAAAATTAAGACAAAGTAGGGACTATTTGACCAGCAGAGGAGCAAAGTGTGCTTCGTTTCCGGTGGTCAGAGCAATGTTCCCACAATCCTTAGCTATCCTCCCTGTTCCCACGATGCTTCCTGTCAGTATTGCCGAACGTCCTGTCACTTACACAGAACGCCGGCAAAACTGCGAATTGCATCCTAACAGAATGACAACAGTTTGTTCATTCGTGTTAGAACGCAAGTCAGGACTTTGTTCGTATCGGAATTTCATTCGATCCTATTCGTGCTGTGGCTGCATCTTGCAGCTGCTTAGTAGATAACTCCCTAATTCCCACGGTATTAGGGAGCTATCTACCAAAAGGCTGAACGACCTAAATTGGTCTTTCAGCCACATTTACTAATACTAAGTAAAGATTACTTAGTATTAGTAAATTCTGCTCCTACTCGGTATACCGTGAGTAGTGGCATGTCTAGTAAACAGTGAGCAGCCAATGGCATTGCAAGGTTTAGTGTTAATGAAGATTTCAACATACACATATCTAGAATTAGGTTTCTGTAGACGTAAAAGCCAGTAACTATCACAGGTAAGAATAACACATTGGCACATGCCAAAAGTTTAACTGTGTTTTTGTGTTCATATATTTATTGTGCATGCATATTCTATCATGATTATCTAGATATGGATTGTCAATATAAAATAACATTGGATTCTCTCTAGGCTCCCCTCAACTGTTGGCGCCCTGTGAGACACCCTGATCGCGCCCCCACCCCTTCCCCGAGTGATAGCAGTTGCATTTCCAAGACAAAAAAAACTTGCACTGAAAACAATACCACAAGGCAGAAAGTACAAACAGCAGCAAACCGCACACATCATTTTCCATCTGCAGCTAGCGTCATAGTGCTGTCTACTGTAAGCTTACTTGGCAATTTAAAATGTGCTAATTAAAACATTTTGGCATTGAACTGTTTGTTCTTTCTCTTGCAGGATTCAGGTAAGTGGCTGAAGTGGTTTTAACCCCGTCAGCACCGCGGGAGGGGGGCACTCCAGGAGCCTATAATGCCAGGAAAACGGGTTTGTTTTCCTGGCACTACAGGATCCCTTTAATGTACAATATGTGTGTGTATATATGTATACATGACAGATTAAGTTATTTACTTGAAAGCTTTATTCATATCTACCAATGCATAAAGGCTTGTTTCTTTAAAGGAACACCACAGTAAAATTGCAACTTTTTAATTGTTCTATTTGGTTTTAAGAACAGCCTAAATTATGAATAGTTTTTACAGAAATATAACTGTCAGATTACATAAAATAGTCCTGCATATTTTATGTATGGATGGCTTGCGTGTAAATCAAGTTTTATGACTTTCATTTTTTTTTGGTTTCTCCCTTTTGATATGATCCAGCGACCTAAACGATTAATAGTCCACTATAGTGTTAGGGATACACATTTGTATATCTAATGCTATAGTGTAACTTTGTTCCTTTAAAGTGCATATACCATGGCAACATGCTTGATGTAACTTTCTAAGGAATTACATTTTAATGACATATTGTGTTAGCCAGATTGTTAAAACTATTTTATCTTTATTGCTGGTGCTATAAATTTACTTGCGGCACACAGTTTGGGAACCGCTGGTGTAACTGTTAAAATCTCAGTGTCTCTTACTCTGCACAATTAACCTCTTAAAGACAGAGGCAATTGTCCCAGACTCCTCAGACTGAATGCAGTGATCGCGGAGTGCCCGAGCCAGCAGACACAAGACAGGAGGTATGGAGGGGAATGTTACCAGGCAGAGCAGGTGCCCCCTAGTGGATAGGCATCTGTAGGCAGGTGCCTACTTTGTCTAATGGGAAATCCAGCCTGCCCGTAGACAAACACACACACAGGCATATACAGACACAGAGAGGCACACACAAGCATACATAATATGTAGTACATAGACAACCAACCTCCAAGGTACATGGATATCCCTTTTTATAGTGTATAATTGTAGGGAGTGGGAGGAAGCCAGGTGGTCATCCGCGGTTTCATGATTATAGTGTTAAACAGTATGGTATTTTTATGGGGGGTGTGCAACTTTATTGTCCATCCCATTTAGTCTGAAGCCTCCCTTCATTTTGTCTTGCTCCCAATACCCACTTTATTTTGATTCCCTCCCTATCAATTTAGTCTTCTCCATTTTCCCCTTCTTACGTCTT